GATCTCCCCAAAACCCCAAAACCCCATTAGAAAATTTGTCAAAAGTATGATGAAAAATAAATCATGAAAATTAATATAATCTAATATTTCTAAAATGTATCAGCTGTATTTTCAAGAGCAAGACGATTTCCTAGATATGAATTTCGCATTCTTTATCATTCATTAGAATTTCTTAATTTATTATCCTAGAGATAAATCGAAATCTTTTAATTTCATAATTACTAGCTAGATATTCTTATTTTGCATTCTAGCGAATTAAGATCTTGGTTTTTCTATTTTTTTAGGATAAAATATAATTTGCTCTTGTGTTTAAGGCAATATCTCAAATTTAGAAGAGACCAAAGATTGATTAAGTATACCCCTTTGAGATAAATTTTAGAGTTGCATCATATTTTCTCTTCTAGTTGTTCCACCTTGAGAAAACTAACTGATTTTAGGTGAGAATACTTAAGATAGTTACAATAGTGCTTTTTAAGCCTCATCTTTTCCATCTAAGTTGTTAAGATTTCTTCTATTAACTTTATTATTAACACTCTAAGCTACTCCAATATAGTTCCTCTGCTTTTTTCCATTAAATAATTCCTTAGGATTATATTTACCACTCAAATATTGCTGGGTAAGAATTTAATCAGTAGTATCCTTATCAGTGTATTTCTTAAGGATTGATCTCTAGTTATTCCTTGTGTTTGGTGATAATAATACTTATCCCAATTTAATTGATTAATTTTAGCTAAGATTGAATCCCACACCATTTATACTTCTACTAGCTAGAGGAGTATCAAGCATATTTAAATCTGGATCTATTTTGCATGTATCGTTTGAGATATCATGTAATTTCAAACCTGACCAATAGTCAGACATGTTGCCACTCTTTACTACACTAAGCTTTATTACAGTGGATTCTACATTCATAGTGTTTTTATGCTAAATTATGTCTTTATCATCATTTTTAAAGATTTCGATTAGATTTTTACTTTTTTAAGCATTAAAAGATTAGGAATGTTTAAAAATAGGTTTTCTTTTCCTCATTTTATACTATTTATTAAATCCTAAATTCCATTGTTTAGGACTCATATAAGAATCATTCATAGTATCTTATTCTTTTATAATGTCAAATCCTAAATCTGTAACCTAATATCCTTGATTGATAATGTCGATGTTGGTTCTTTCCTCCTCTTATAAAGGTAAAAGTGTTAGATATCTCAAATATTTAGCTATCTTTCTTAATATCCAATATTACTATGTATATAGAAAACAATAAAGCCATAAAATCATGAACCAAATCACAAATACTATGATGACTATAAAAACGATTCTTTTACCGAGATTATCAAGTTCATTTGAGACAAAAAATAGTGATCCAAAAAATGTAACTATTGAGCATTAGATTTCTCTTTACTCAAGGATGTTAATCAATTAGTTCTTATAAGGTTAATTCCTTATTTGAATTCTATACATAATACAAAGAACCATCAAAGTAACAAGAGCTTTAAAAAAATCAATTTAGGTCTAAAGGAAAATGTTGATTGCAACCATAAATGTTTTTCTGAATACATTCACAAATTCCCAGTAGTAATTTTGAGGATTTAACCCAAGATAGAGTGCTTAAAATCTAACTTTAAATTCTGTTTCTAAAAGTTTAGACTTATTTCTTTTAAGAATAAGAAATCCTACAATAGGTGCCAAAATAACCCACAATAACATAAAAGGAACTCCAATTAAAAGTAGATTTTTCATATGGTCATCTGTCCAGCATTCTACTTGCATGTCTTGCTAAAGATAGAATTTATCATGAATTTTTTAGCAGAAAAATAGCCCTAGAACATACTTTGTTACTTAGGGATGCAAGAAATAAATGGTTACAACTGATGTAGCAATAATCCAACGAGCTAAAGCTTTTTTACCCAATCCCTTGTTTACTACTGCTATTAGCATTATCAAGAAGTAAATGAATATTATTAAAAGAGGCATTACGCTCATCATTAAGGCCTTGATATATACAAAGGAGTTTGATTCGTTAGCTAATAACGTATTTTACAAAAAGCAATCAAATGAGAGAAGTCTGTCTGAAGATTCTCCTAACTAGCTGAATATTTTATAAAAGTTTGTAAGTGACTCTGGCCATTGTAAATCTATCATGTTTGTTGAAGTCAAAATTTAGAGGAAATTAGTCAAAATTCTCATTATAGCAGAGGTCTCATGATTGGCATTTTCCTTCAAGTTTGTTCTAATCAGAAATAGAAGATAAAGCATAATAGCCAAGAATATTCCTTAAAGTAGAAGCATGTTAACTACTTTATCTGGGCATTAAGCGCATTTACTAACACCTTCTCTTGAGTAATGAATCTAATTATTATTGATACACCTGTCACAAAGATTTCCACAATAACCATAAGCACCTATCAAAGCATAATTTAAGAAAAAAATACATAGTGGGAAATAATCTTTAGATTTTGAGTAATTTTGAGGATAAGTTCCTCCAACACAAGCTTCTTTAGCAAGGCATTTATAAATTTCAGAGGAATTCTAGTCTTTTCTCCAGTATCCGGAAAATACCACAATTTGATATCCACCAGGGCAATCTGCAAATTGAGGACATTGTTAGCATTGAGATGAATTTTATTTTAAAGAGTATGATCCAGCCTCACAAACCAAACATCTGTTAAAAAAATTATATAAAAACTATTTACTCATTGTTGGTGGATGATTCACCCTCAAGACAGATTCTAAAATCAATAGAAATAACTTCTTTATTTGTTATAATATCATTAGGAATATTTAATGATTCTCTTCTATATTAATCGTTTATTGTCGTTGAAAATATGACAAATTTGACTCCCTTAGTACCAGGTTATGCATAAAATTTAAGATCATCATAAATAGCTATTCCATTTTCAACTTTTAACTATCTTAATCCTGTCACACCAGCTTAGGAATCATCAATTGCTTCAATCATTATAGACCTATTTTATATACTTAAAATTTATATAATCTTACGTTGAGTTATCATTTGAGACTAACTGACCCTCAGGATCAACAACTCTAACAATTATTTTACCTTAATACCTTTGGCCACTAGCAGCTTCTTATTAATTTATCATTTCTACTTAGAGAGAAAGTGGGAAACTAGCATAATCATCTCCATATTAGGCTCTGTTATCTGGGAAGTATTAGTTATCTAAGAGTCCATCTGGCCTGTATTTATTATAATATATCACACCTCCATTATATTAAGCTGAGTTACCATAGAATTTATTATTTTTAACTGTGTAATTACAATATATCACTAGATAAGATTAATAAAGCAAATACTTTACTTTTTGAACAAATGAAAGCAATCGCTCCTCCATATTTAGAATAAGAGTTTGAAATTTAGGATTCAACAATTGTCAAATCACTCCTTTAAGAAAGTATAGTTCCTCCTTAATTTATTGAGTGAAGATTTTCAAAGGTTGAATTATATATCTATACTGCACTTAAATCTGACATAATAGCTCGATGATTTTCATTTTTGTGTAGATTATCTTGGTTATTAAAGCCTATAATTTTTGAATCTTTTATTAGAATCGCAGACTATGAGATTGATATAAGAGTACAATTAAAATCAATGAAAGAACTATTAATTATTTGCACATTCTATGATCTTTAAATTAGAATTAATTCTGAACTTAGCCAATTTTTTATATTAGTAAAACCGCTATTTGTGATTAATATATCGCTAGAATCTACCATTAAATTTGGTAAGTTTGACATGAAATTTTGACTCAAAATTTACGTTTAATCAATTGTCAAACTCGAGCTTCCTAAGTCTCCTATATTTACATTAACCCTTCCTAAAATATTTGAATAAATAAATTGAAGTTACTTAATTATGAAGATAAGATATATGCAGAGGATTTTAAGGATAGTTAGAACAGATATTGAGTCAAGAGCAGATTATTTGAATAATTGTAGTTAATATCACTAAAATTAGAATATCTAATTATGAGTTTACTCTAAATCAAAAGCATAAATGAATTTTCACTATCAGATATCTGAATATCACTTAAACTGACATTTTAAATTTCAATTTAAGACTGGAAAGCATTCAATAAATTATGATGATTTCTTATCCTTGTATTATTTTCAACAATCAACTTTCCAGTGCTTATATCTATGGAGTTTCCAATAAGTTTTGAATTTCTTTATATTAAAACTCTGAATATTGGATCTAAATTATCAGAGAATATTTGATCCATTTTGTTTTGCTCTAAAAACTAATCTATCTTTAGGGGACTATTGTTTTCTAGAGTCACATTATTGAATTCAGCTATTTGATCAATTAATTATGTTATAGATACTACAGATGATCTAAAAGCATTATTCTGCCTAATAATGGAATTTTTTATTACAAATGTTCCTTCATTTTCAATGTATCCAATACCTCCAGTTACAGCAAAATTTTTCTCAAAAAAGCAAGAATCAAATGTCAGTTTGCTACTAAATTAGGCAAAAAAGACACCACCATCATAAGCATAGTTTCTAATAAAAGTACTATTGAATATATCAGCTGTTGTATTTTAATAATCTCCAAAAATTACACATCCTCGTGAAACTGAAAAGTTATCCTCGAAGTGTGAATTTTTAATCTGCAATCTACTATTAGTCTCTATCTTAAAAAATGCGTCTACAATTACTCTGTTAGAAACAAACCTTGAATTATAGACGTCAACAATTAATGGTAAATCAATCTTATTATGATCATTAGCTTTCAGCCCTATCTATAGTCTTGTATTATTTAAGAACAAACAATTGATTATTTTTAGAGGATTTATGTCATTCTACAATGTTTTTATTAGAAACCCTCCTTCTTTAGATGTATTATTGATAAAGCTACTGTTTATAAATCTTATTGAATTGTTCATTGTGTTATAAAACCCATCTGTCTTAGCCAAAGAATTTGATCCTTAAACATTGTTTGAGATAAAACTACAGTTGATGAAATCAAAGTAAAAAGGTTAACTTAAAGGAACAGAATTATTTGTGTATCCTTTAAAAGAAATGAAGTTTAGATCATTATTCTTAATCGTAGAATTTACAAATACTGAATTTTTTGAGTTCTAAAATAAGGACAATTCATCTAATCTTATTATGTAGCTGTTTGATTTGAGATTGTCTAAATATGTAAAGTTTTGAAATGTGACGTTAATTATTTGTAATGACTATGTTTTAAAGACTCCAAAGTAATAAACATCTGAAGACATTTGCTCATTTTCAAATAGAGAATTTTTGAAAATCACCTATGAGTATTGTCTATCTTACTAAATGGCTTAATTCTGATGTAAATAATTTCCCTCAAAAATAAGATTATTGAATTCAGAGTAAGCTCCCACTGGCCCTGTAGAATGTTTCATTAAGACCTAGGCATTTTATCCTTCATCCACTATTATATCATAGTTATGACTAGTAAAGTCATTATAATATCTTACTTGAATTATTCCTAACGGTAATTTAATCTCCAAAAACTGTGCTTTATCGGAAATATAGAAGTAAAACTCTCCCGACCATAAAAGAATTTTCATACGTAAAGTCTATGAGGATTTAAATGATTTTTAACTTACTTTAAACATTAAGGACTAAATTATTAGTTGCATTTAATCCAAAGGTCTACTATGATAAGAGATTTACATTGCTGAAGAAGAAATTTTTAAGCGTTAAGTTTACATTGTATCCTCCTATTTTAAGAAAATCATTATGTGTGTAGATATCAGTCGCTGTAATATTTTCAAATACAGATTTTATTGGTCTTAGGTAGTCTCCAGAATTGTTAATTATAATCCAATATAATGATACTATCTCATTAAGGTTTTATGAAGTTATAGTGATAAGGTTATTTGTAAATATTATTTATTTGAAGGTATTGTCTTTATTTTCATTTACTACACATTAGTCTGAAGAATCAATGTAAAGTTGGTATAAATTTGCATCTGTTTATCTTGATTAGGATTTAAATTTAGAATTGTTTATTGTAATGTTGTTTATAGTAATCAAATTGATCAAAGGCTAGCTTTGCATCAAATATTTCTCTCCCGTTAAGGTAAAATTTTCAAAGACTATTTCGCCTTTAGTAGAGTATGTACTTGTCAATAAGCAATTAGTAACTATATATACTCCAATGTTTACCCATTCTGTATGAATAACTGAGTTTTAAATGATAAAATTAAGTGGATTACTAGTTTTAAAAAACCCTCCATATATCTCTACGTCGATCCCCTAATTCATTTAAAAATTTAAGATATTTACATCAAACCTAATAGTTCTATCTTGAGTATCCCAAGCAAAGAACAACTATGAATATTCATTTTATTCATCGATTTCATCTTTAAAATTAAAAAGATTAATTACTTTTAAATTTGATATTTAGTATCTGAAAGTTGCTCCTTATAAGTAGGAAATTTGCATTAGTTTAGTATAATAATTCATCTAGCTCAAATTATTGGGCTTAATCTAGGATTCTAGTACTTGTGGAATCAGTATCAGCTAGTATAAAGTTAGTTTTCTTCAATTCTGCATCTAAACTTATAAAATTCTTCATATTTTAAATGTTAACAACTGCTTTTTCACCTAAGTTTAATATATTCTATTCATTGTATGTCCTAAATCTTTAAAGATGAAAAAAAATACCTAATTGTCAAGTTTGATTACTACCAAATAATTTGCTGATCAAATTGATTATACATATCATTGTTTGTTCCCTCTTTGATCAATATTTATATGCTTACATTATAATCAACGATATTATTGTATATTTCTTTGAAGGCATACTATATATACCTGTATGGATACTATAATGTTCCTAATTGTAAACTTTCTTCAGATTCAGAATTAATAAAAATCATTGGGTCTAAAATATATCAAAATAGTTAATTAATTTACCTCTGCAATAGTGAGATTGCATTGAGAGAGAAGTTATATTTTTTTAGCCTGAAAGTTTTCCTTCATTGCAACTATTAATGCACATCATGGAATTGAGGTTAAATATTTCATCTTTTTTACAGGCGAAGCAATCTTAGAAATTATAGCACAATTTTTATGTTTTAACAATCAATACTAAAATGTAAAAATAATATACTATTTACTTAGACATTATAAAATTGGTAAGTTGCTGTAAGAAGAGCAGATACTACAATTCATTGACTAGGAAAAACTTCCATCATTATTATAACAAGATGAACACTAAAAGTATTCTTGAATATTTTACTTCTCTTAGCATTAGTTTATGATTTCGGAATTAAAGGTTAAACAACTAGAGCTTTTTATGGCAACGGCCAACAATGTAATTTAGCAGACAAGTTTTACTATTGATTTATGAGAACTTAAAGCTTTATCAGTTGCATGATTAATTTTCATACTTTGTTTACTAGATGATTAGATGATTTTGTCTTAGTATTTGTATTAACTTATTGATTTAATATAAATTCAATGTTAAATATAATTTCTATTAACGTTCCTGATTATTGAATTGCATTTGAAATTTCGTCTTCTGGGGTTTTGGGGTTTTGGGG